CTGATCCAGAACTACCCACCTTTAGAATTTTGAATTCTCAAATTATTTTGTTATGAAATTATTGATGACTGAAAAATACTTGAAATCCCTTTAAAAAAAACTGGCAGAACCAGGTTGAAAAAGTAAAGCTCAGCAAAAACATCTAACTGAAGGAAATTTTTGAAACTTGTGACATAAGTATAAAGGAACCAGATTTGACAGTAAGATCAACATGTGATTGAAGTGCACATTACACACATTACATATTTAGACTTACTGTCATAAATGGTTCCAGTACTCTTATGCCACAAGTTTCCTTTATTTAGATGATTTTGCTGAGCTTTACTTTTTCAACCTGGTTCTGCCAGTTTTTTTGGAGATTAACTATATTCCGTTTCCCCAAAGAATGAATCTTGCCAAAATATGATGTCACTCTGAAAGCTTGCTGGCTACTGGTATCATCCACCAAAGTAAAGCTATGTCAATTTTAATGTTTAAAAGTTATTTATGGATTACAATATGTTGATAAAGACATTAATAAGACATGGTTCCTTAAATAAAATGAAAAATGAATAAATTTGGGGATTTGGAATGATTCTCACAAGTGCACAAACTGGATTACCATAGTAATATAAGTTTATGCATTTTTTAAAAATATAATAAACTTTTGAAAGGTAATAACTAAGCATTGTATCTATCATTTGTAGTTACAAGTAGACTGCATTGTGGTACAAATGACTACACACATTGGCAAGTTGCCAGTGTTTCATTCAACAAATCATGGAGTTTGTTACAGAATAATACATAATACAAATGTGGCAAGAAGGTTCATTTCAACATAAGGCATTCTTAAAGAAACAAAATGTATGTGGATCCAAAGGACATTCCCACCAAGTCACCTGATGTTAGTCCTGTGGACTTCTTTGGCTTCATATTTGTTAAATGGGGAGGATCTTTTTTCCTGAAAAGCCACCCTGCAACAGTATTTAGAAATTCCTTGGGGAAAAGCAGGCTGGACTTACCACTGAATAATGCAGAGACATTTTTTGATTCATAGAAAAGACACCATTGAGCCATTTAGGCATGGCAATGGAAAACACTTACAAGGAGTACTACACTTATGTCCCCTATTGATTTTAATGAATTTTGGCACAAAGTTAGTGTTTGGTACCATAATGCAACCCTACAGTTTCATTCTACAGTCAATAACAAGCAAGTTATTGAAGTTTAACCTTTGTAGACAGGGTTTGTCAGATATGGTGCTATCACGATGTAGTGGAGAATAAACATGGAAAATTTTTTAGAAATTTTCCCAAGCGTTTTTCTCCTTTCCATTTTGGAAAAAAATTTTTTAAACAGTTAAGTCAAGTAAAAAATCTAGAAAAAATCTTTCTTTATTGTCACATAATTCCTTTTTAAGTGAATTTTTTTGCAGATATAGATGTTCTCCAGTGCCACGTGATCGCCCTTGATGGTATATCCGTCGATCACTGCAGAGTGGTAAAAATTAAGCTATCCATTTGCTGCCATTGGCTAGCTTGTAGAGACTCTGCTCTAACATGGACAATTTTTTGGCATTTAACTATATTAAAAGAATTTTAAAAATTTACAATCATGAGTGATGTATGTTTATTTGTAAATATTCATCTGTTAACAAATGCAAACAGGAAAACGTAAGTGCAGACAATTGTTTTCAGATTCAGATAATAAGGAAATCAGACACAAGAAAGTGTTTTTGGAGAGTGGAGGTTTGTCTGCTCATAGTTGGAGAACATAGAAAAAAGCAGACAACAAAAAGAAATTTTTGTTATTAAAGTTAAAGCAGTATGGAAAGACAAGTTGAGTCTGATCTGACATTGCTAACTTAAACTTCAAGGCTAGCAATACATGGTTGCATCGTTTCAAGAATATAACGTAACATTGGTAGTTGAAAAATAACACAGCTAGTTACCAAACCACTGTTGCATGTTATTTTGTTAATTAGCCATGTCAGGTAAAATAAGTAAGTCTGTACATGAATTCTTTTTGAGAAATAAACAGTAAAGAAAATTTTTTTCTTGGGACAGACATACAAGTAAGGATTTACATACAAAATTCTTAGGTCAGGCTACCAATACACACCAAAATCACTTTAACTTTCAATGAAAGGTGGTGTAATGAGGCTGCACCAGAGAAAAACAGTTTTTTGGTAAAAGTTTTAAAGTACCTTGCCAGAAAAATTCTTCAAGCTTAATGGTATTTCTCAATGTCAAAGAGGTATGAAAGAATGATAACTGGATAGTACAAGAGAGATTGCACTCTCTTGCACTTTCAATAATTTAATTATATGACATTAAAATATGGACATGTTTCTTTTTGCTTGGACAGGGTGGATATGTTTTTTTTTTTTGCATGAACTATGTTAGGATATGTTTTCTTCTGTCTGGCCACTACATTCTTTTTCACTTTGTTATTGTGGCTACTACTTTGACTTATCAAAAAAAATGGCATTTTACAAAATAGGGATGAACAATAAATGTCTTCTCCCAAACAATCGCATAGGTTCCCATTATTTTCTTCTTTTTCCGGGTCATCTGCTTCAAGCTTGGTTCCGTTTTGTAACACTTGTTTATACCATGAAAAACTTTCATCATTTAAAAGTGATTCAATGTCTTTTTTCTTGGTAGCTAACAGAGGGTGTTCTACAGGTAGTTGCTTGACTGGCTCCTCAAATTCCAAAGGAGCACTGTATTTTTGTATTTTCTTCTTTGCCTGTACGCCAACAGTTTTAGGTTTCTTTGTAGATTGAACATTGCCTTCTTCTACACTTATCAAACCATCTTCATTCATTTTCACTCAATTATAACACTGAAATACACTGTATAATAAAATGTGTACTAATAAACATTTTAACATCAAAATCGCTGTTCCAACGGAACAACAAAATGACACAACAAAAAAACCACCCGTTACATTCTGGAAGTCATGCGACTCAATTATAGCTCTTCATTGGCTGAGGCAGACTGCAATGGATATGTTTTGTTCTGCTTGGAACACATGTAAAGAGATGTTCTTTTTTGCACAGAATGTTTATTTTCAAAGCTCAAATATGTTGGATGCATATTTTTTAAATGAAACCGACTATAACAGTAGATAGGAATGAGGCTGAAGAAAAAAAGTCAATTATAAACTCAACTTTGATTTTTTGTGGATTTGTTTTCTTTTGCATAGCACCTCCACATTTATAGTGACAGTCTTGTCTGTGATGCCATAGAATATGATCAAAACAGATTTATAAAATATGTCCTTAATTGCAAATGCTTATGTGTACACCATTTATGGATTTAAAGCTATTATTATTTCTGCACTGCTTCTCCATTTCTCAAGTAAAGTATATTTTGGTAATATTAACATAACTGCCAAAAGTAATTACTACTGAGAATATACTCATGCCACTGTCTTGATTGTGATGATAATAAATAAAATAAGCTCACTGCATGAGATTACTTCTTTGATTTACTGGTTATACATCAATATTTAAAAACAAAAACACTTATGTCATTTTTAAAGTTTTAAGGATATTGATATAATTATTAATTTAATGTAACTAATGTTGATATTAAATTTTCTCATTAATCTTTCAACAGCAGACTTGTCAGGTATGGTTCTACCTCCAGTAGTGGAGAATAAACGTAGAAAATTTTTAAACTACTTTTCCGCATGTTTTTCTCATTACCATTTCAGAAAAAAAATTTTGTAAACAGTTATGTCTAGTAAAGAAAAGTCTTTTTTTATTGTTACATAATTCATTTTTTAGGTGAATTTTTTAAGCGATAGTTTTTGGTGATACCCCAAAAAGAATATAACATATATATCTGTCCTTCACCACTGCCACATGATTGCCCTTGACGGATATATCCATTCTTCACTGCTGAGTGGTTAAAATACCAACACAATTGTTATTTGAAGAGATAAATATCATGGGATGGTTAAAAACATGCCTGTGGTCAAATGGGTACTGATCTGCCTGAGAAGAAAGGAGCAGCAACAGCAAGAAAAGATCAAACTACCATATTACTCATCCACCATTAGTAGTTCCATATTCAATTAGTCATAACTCATTTATTATAGTCCATAGAATGATATGATTGAACACTACCTTTGTGCAAAAATTTAAAATTTTGTGGGAGACATAGGTGTAGTACTTCTTATTAAAGAATGACTCGTCTATAGACAGATATGTGCTTCAAGACACAACTTGAACATAAAAGCAAGCCATAATTGTGCATGGAGGGTATTTTGCTAATTTTTTATATTTTGCAAATATTATCAGTTACAGGTGTTTCCAGACTGTATTGCTTCATATTGAAAATTGTTTAATTCTTACAATCGTACTTTATTCATAATTATGAAAAATACAAGTCAATACACCATTAACAGAGGAGAATCGAAATACTTAAAGTAGATAAAGTATTCTATAAGTAAAGTTATTATTATTGACACTAACACAAAAATTATTATATGAGTTTTATGCATTCATTGCCAAATATTGTAAACTTTACTAATAATTCCAACAGTTTCAATTTTTAGAGCTTGTATAATTTAGATGATTTTGACTTATTTCTAATTGCATAGTAATTGAAGTGAACTTCTTTATTTACTTTATGTAACCCATCATTAAGAGTTTTAATGGATTAATAATAAAATATGTAGATGAGAAAATCTTGGTTTTTCTTAACTTTCCATTTATTTCCCCCCATCTACTATTAGGTTTGGTGCACATTTACTACTTTGAAAATATATTTTAAATATGAAAGTAAAAGCCATTCTTCCTTAAAAATTATTTATTCTAAAGATACAGTACAACAATGTTCTAAAAAAATCTAACTAAAATTATAATTAAAATATCAAATAATGCTTCAGCTCTATTGTATTTACACATGGAAATTATTCAAATTAAACTTAAGCATTATAATCATCTGGAATGTAAAGTAATTCATTTATCTTTTCTAGCAATGTTATAAAATAAGAAATGTACTTACGATGTTTTCAATACTGCGCAGGGAATGGAATTACTGAGGACGTCGTGTGTGACGGCACATTTGTATCTTGCCTGGGAAGGATAAATTAAATGTTAGAAATATTTGTAAAAAAATATTCAAAAACCTTTTAAAATTATTATTAGTTTTATATCTTTCTTAAAATAAATAATCTGCAATCTAGCTACAAAAAAGGACTATAATGAATATCATAAACACAGAAAATCTAAAGTATTAGATTGCCACAAATAATCCTGTCTTTTATAAAATTATCAAATATTTTGTCTCAAACATTTCTATGCAATTTTGGATAGCTTCTTTGAAATCGGTTACAGAAAAAGTTTAAAGGAATCAAAAGAGGTGGTAGTCCTAAGTGCCAAATTGGGGTCAAGGGTAATGGGGAAAACTTTCATCTAAGCTCTTAATTCTTAACTATTGTGATGTAGGGTCTGGTGTTGTCACGTGACAAAATAATCCTCTTCCTGTTTGTCAAATATTGATGCTTCTGTTGAAGTTTGCCAGCAATTGGAAATAAAATTTTCCAATTGCTGGCAGTATAAAATAACATTTACAATTTATTTGAATTCAACAACTCATAACAAGAAAAAAGGAAAAATTTACAAACGTTTTCATCCATGTGAAATAGACATCCTCAGTTATATATGATATCAAACAAATGGCTAACCAAAAATAGAATGTTTCTTGAACGTTCAAATTGATTATGTGATTCGAATACATTACGTTAAAATTTATATGTTTGGGATACAATTTCAAAATATGTATATTATTTAAACAATAAACGAATAAACAATCAATTAATTTAATGTTAATTACTATGATCAAAACATCCTCTGAAATTTAAATTTTCATTAAGGCGAGTTTATGTCAGCGGAATCCAGTTCAAAAATGGTGCGCCATGCTGTGGATAGTGTGTCCATTTCCTTGAAGTTAATAACGACTCCTTGTTTAATCACACAATAAATTCCAAGTGCCTCAAGGTATTTGAGTTGCCATTTGTTCAATATCGTATATACCTGAGGATGTCTATTTCACATAGATGAAAACATTTGTAAATTTTTCCTTTTTCTTGTTATGTGCTTGTGTTGGTTTTATTGAGGTATACATTTATACAAACTCAGTTTTTGAAATACATTAATGACTCAAAATACAGTATTTCCCTCATATCCTGCCACATGCATAGCATCATCTTTTGACACCATCTGTTACAAGATTTTATTTTTAAAATTTTTATATTATTATAAAATGGCAAAAAGTTAATTTTGAGGGTAAAGATGAGTTTTGTAAAAACTGTAAATGCTAATAACCAGTAAAATATTCATTAAGTGATATATCATTCAAGGTTTAACACACAACCACCCTAACACTCTGATCCTGGACTTTATCCACAAAAATTCAATAGCATCAATGCCCCTAATATATATAATTCCCTGCAAACTTTCAGAATTTCAAAAAAAAAAAAAAAGCACTGGAGTTATTAAGCTTCAAAGCGGGTGAGCAAAATCATGTCCCCCCACCCCCACACACCAAACCCTCAACTTCTATTGAATTTCTTGACATTTCAAGGTCCCAAGCACAAAAATGTAAAACTCTTGGAGATCATTTTTTTGGCTGATTGCCACACTTTCCCTCTGTTATATATAAAATACTGATCAATTAATTTAATATTTGATGGTATAATCTTAATAATCAACTAAATTGCAGTGGAAATTACTGTTTTGAATGGATCCTTGCTGTTCAAAGGACAGACAACAGTGGGAATTTGTAGGTAGACAATTTTTTCAAAAGTAGTCCAAAAATTAAGAAAACAATATTTATGTTAATTATTGCATTTATTTTAATTTGATTTACTGCAAAACAAGACAAATATTATTAACTATCCATTGCAATATTCAAATAACTAAATAAATACATCTTTTGCAAATGTATAAATAGTAGCTACTAGCATGGTTTTTTTTGAATTTCTAACTTAACATTATTCAAAGTACAATGCTGGAACAACTATCATCGAAACCATACCTTTTATACTTTTCCAGCTATTAGGATCCAATATGTACTTAACTATATTCAATAATAATTTTGCAATATTAAATTACACATTTTAAAATATATATATTTTTATGGATTGAATATTTTAAATTTAAACGTTAGCATCATAGAATGCATTTAACATTCGTATGTAGAATTTCAGAATGATGCATTTTTCGAAAGCTAATGCTAAGGATGAAGCAGATTTATGAATAAACTGAATACATTTATTTATCTTAAATAAATCAAAGCTGGAAAATTATGAAAGGTATGATTTTGATAAGTTAATGTTATCATTACAATATAACAATTTTACTTTAGATGTTAGTCTTTAAATTAATAAAACAACTTACTTTACGAGCAATGAGAGACTTTGGTTCGGAATCTTGTATTAGCATAAACTGTATGGGAATGAGATCTTTAATTTTTAGTGGCTTTCCACTCATCGGGCAATAGATAGTGGAATCCTAAAATATATAACCAATTTAGTACTTGTGTATATTAGATGTGTTAAATAGAAATTAACTAATAAAATACAAACTGGTTTTTTCAAGTTGCATTTTTTTGCCTCTGGAGTTAGAGATGGAATCCAAAAACTTGGCAGAACTTTCTCATTGCCATTTTTCATGTTACAAATACTTTGTTTACTAGTACTGGCTTCATCTACAAAAAATATAATTTTATACATATTTGTTACTATTAAATATTTAATATATATATAGAAGGTCAAAATCTCATGCCAATTACATACATTACATTTTTAGTAAAAAAATATTAGAAACTAGCAGGTAAGCCCGGCATTGCCTGGGCAAAAAATAAGTACAAACATTCAGATTATTAGATTATGTCATACTTCTAATCCTTCTATTATATTACAGTATATTATAATATTTAATTTATATAACTATAAATGTTATCTTACAAAAGAGCTTATCCCACTGAACAACCAATCTAACACATTTTAAAAATTCTTTAAATTGTGTATAGTAGAGGAAGAAAATTTTTAAATGTATTAGATTGGTCACTCAGTGTGATAAACCCATACATGAGATAAGGTTTGTAGTTATACAAATCAAATACTATGATATAACAAATATTAAAACAAAAACCATATAAAAAGTCTGGTTATTTTAACCTACCATTGTTATGTTTATTGCGATACTTGGATGGTACAAAATGTACAATTTCATTAGCCAAGTAGACACAATTGAAGATATCTTTTCTTATTTTTTAAGATATTATATCATATTTTTTTATAATGTTAGCACTAACAAACTGTTTCATTCACAAAAAATGGACCAATTATTTAATTAAATTTGGTATCCTCGAAGACCACTTAAATCGTATTTTGTAATATTTTTTACTAATACAGTAGAATCCTGATTATCCAAGTAAGATGGACCAACACTACCTCATATAACCAAAAACTTAATTTTTAATCCAAGATGGCCACAGCCATCTTGGATTAAAAATTAAGAACATAAAAGATTTACACAGTAGCATTTTTAAGCTTTTTTCTTATAACTTAGCAAATTTAACTATATATATAAGAATATTTTTTTACATCATTTACTAAACAGCTAATGCATACAATAGTTTTAATTTAAAAAATACTTTTGTAGGTACATTTTAATACAAATGATTTGTTTCGCATTAAAATTAAATAATAAAATTTAACAGAAAATATCATTTTGTAATAGATGTTTATCATTTTTAAACTTTCTTTTATGAATTACAGCATAAGAATAGTAGTGTATTTGCTCATAAGTTACCTTGATAACGTGGAACACCTTTAATTGGGACTTAAATATTTGGGATTCTACTGTATATATCAATCTGAATTTTTTTTAACTTTTATTGTCCTAAATATTTGGTCAATAATTACTTGTTAATTATAATTTTTCTATTCACAAGAAAAATTAAATTACTGTACAATTTTTCAAAAAATTTATCCAAGTTATCAGGAGATTTACTGTATTTATATCTACATGTTACTTTTATGCTGTACTACTTCCTAATAATTATTGAAATTTATGAACAAAATTATTTACCTGATTTACCATTAAAAGCTGTAAAATTTTTCTCATCCTTCAGAAATGTTTCAGCTTTAGAAGCTTGTTCTGCCTTTGCTAATTCCAACAGTTCTTGCTAGAATAAAACAATCAAAATTAATATATATTATTTTTATGGAAAAAATATATAAACATTATAATTTTATGTACAACAAAATAAATTACACTATTTCACATCAATAAATTTTATGTTTTGATCAAATATTTGTTTATTTCATAATAAATTATGAATTGAAAATATGTAAAAGTATAAACGTTTCTATTGTGAATTACATTTACAAGATATTTTCAACCTCTATCACTTCTATATAGCTATTTTCCTACTATTTTATGAACATACAATTTACAATGGTTAATTAATAACACTACCGACCACTCATAGCTCCTCCCATTGAATTTTAATCTGCTGAAGTAAAAATGTTTTTTACATCAAATAAGTTACAAAAAATTTTAAAAACAGAACACTTCATATGTGAGTCACGTAGGTTAAAAGTTATTCGTTATGTGAACAAATGCAGTTTAAAAATTGATACATGTTAACTGACTCAAATACAATTACAGTAGAGCATTGATTATCCAAATGTTGATCAACCGAAATGTCAATTAATCAAAAGCTTTCCAGTCGGCAAATTTAAATTTCCGCTAGTGCTGTGGCGCTGCAATTTTTGGCTATGTCTTGGGCTACTCCAATATTATTTTTGTTGGTGTGCGTATTTTAGCTGGCAACACTGGCATGACCATGAGAGGGTACTTAAGGACGTGCCAGGATTTGAACAAATTTCAACATGGGATAGATTAATATATTTTTTCGTATATAATCGGTTATCTGAAAAATCAATTTTCCGAACAGCCCAGTCCCCAATTGATTCGGATAATCAATGCTCTACTGTAAATTAAATTAATTTACTTATTCCATATAAAAATGGCTATGTTATTTTTATATTCAAGTCCAATTTGCATTCTAATTTCAATTTATAAATCTCTTACCCTAAATTTATGAGAAATGTTTAAAAACACTGCCTACCACTTGTACTGTACATACTCCAGCACATTAAAATTTAATGGAAATGCAAGTTTTCAGTCATTTTTAGGGGTCTTCATCAACCAAGAGAGCCATTTTTATATGGACTAAGTAAATTAATTTAATTTAATTGTATTTGAGTCAGTTAACATGTATCAATTTTTAAACTGCATTCGTTCACATAACAAAAAATTTTTAACGTGATTGCACATATGAAATGTTCCGTTTTTAAAATTTTTTGTAACTTATTTGATGTAAAAAGACATTTTTACTTAAGCAGATTAATATTTAATGGAAGTAGCTATGAGTGGTGGATAGTGTTTTTAATCAACCATTCCAGCTTTTGAGTATGTTTAGAGAAATGTTTAGTTATGCTTTTCAAACAAAAAAAAAAACAAACATGATGGAAGATGTGACAAAAGCAGAAAACAAAGCTTATTTAGTCTCTCACAGTCTCACACCACAATAATACATACAACAAAAACCACAATTATTTCAACATACACATAAATCACTGCTATAACTCAACCTTGAACATTTCCACATTCAATCTGAACATTGGGTTTACTAAACCCAATGTTCAGATTGGTGGACTAGACACCAAGGAGGTGTCTAGTCCACCCCATGGAACTTTGGAATGTCTTCAATCAGAATAAAAAATGGTCCTCTTCCATTATTAAAACTAATAATAAAACTCTCTAAAACATTCAATTCAAGCCTATTCAAAAACCTATATGTTCTATTTTTGACACTGCACAACCAAAACATTCATTCCATCAAACATCTGATTTACCATATTTTCACAGATTGTCCGTCATGTTGGTCTATTTTCACAGTTAGTATATATATACAGAAATATCTGATTTCGTGGTCTTCCATAGACCACAAAATCAGATATTTCTGTATGGTAAAAGCCAGCATGCCAGTTTACGTGAGGTAGTACTGTACATCTTTCTCCAGAGAGTACACAAAAAATGAACAAGTTTTGTCATGTAAAAACAAACAATTTTTATTCTAAAACTGAAACTATCAGCATTAGATTAAAAAAACTATGATTATATGTTTTATTTCAGCATTCTGTTTTTTCTAATAATGTAAAATATTTGTGGAATGCCAAAAGTGCTCTTTTATGTTTATATTATTGTAATTCAATCCAAAAATGCAAAAATAAACATATAAATTTCAAAAACTCACTGTAAACTATCTCAATTTACATCAATTAACATCCACTTTGTGTGAATTTTGAGAGGAAAGTGTTATTTTTAAAATCAAAGTAGATTGTAAGTGAAGCCCACACTGACTAACTCCTACTACAACTAATGTCAATAAGCTTTTAATTGTATTATTGCACTGTAAACGAAAACTTTCCTTCAAATTTTAAGTTGTTACATTATTACTATTTTATTGTACTCAGAAGAATGTTTCCTTAACATTTATTTAACAACTAGTTTTTTCTTATGTATGATTAATTTTATTTCTAAGTCACAATTTAACCAGCATGCTGGTCTCCCCTAGTTATATGCGACATGCCAATCAATCTGTGAAAATACAGTAATAGCGTCTTGCACACACAACTTTACTGTTCTGCAAATGAAACTTCGAACCCTTTTAAATTTAAATCTTCACTCAACAAAAATTCCATAAAATTGTTACTCCATTTGAACATGTTTAATGAGCAATAATTTGAAAATTGATTTCCATTCATTCTTTTGTATCATCATATACTATCCATCTCCAGATATAATTAATCAATTGAAAATACAGTAAAATCTTCTTTTTGTGGTACTGTTATATGAGGATTCCTATTTTCATGCATGGTACAGTACCATAAAATGATTATGCTAACCCACTCCTCCTACTGCTACTGAATCAAATTATTAAGTCAGTAAATCATGCTTCTTCAGCTTCTGACATTCTAAACACTCCTACTATTATGAGTACTCTGGTTTGTTTTATGTATTTTTTTCTAGTAGTATACTCAATATAGCATAAAATTTTGCTTTGTATATCCAGAAATGTTGAACTAAAGTATTTTAAACACATTTTAACATTTTCGGTTAATTGTAAATGGTTGCAACTGCTTTTTCAGAAAATGTCATCAAAATTAAAGATAAATTTTGTGGAATCTAATATTAAAATCTCCGTACATATTTATTGGACATTGATGTTTGATATAGTGATCTTACGTATTTCATTTTCAAAAAAGGTTTGTTCACAAAAGCACATAGAAACAAAAATAGAAAATATCCCAAGCAAACTAGGGGCTTAAAATTCTCTTCTGTCAGAGATTTAAAAATTTAACAAACTTTCTTCTTTAAACAGATTTTTATACAAATCATTTGCAGCAAGATCTATTAATTCTAATTGACTTTCCAAGTTGTAAATGTATAGTAAATGGCAGTATTCCTGAAAAGTGTTCAACTTGTTGCATAGTTTTAAGTTTATATGCTTTGAACCACTTCAAATGTTTTCACTGACATGTTTTATCATCAGCAAGCTATGTGAGTTAGATAAATATGCTTTGAAAGGAATAGGTTGAAGATATCTGGTCTAGGCATGTTTACTTGGGATTATGTTGGAGATAAGCACAAATTTATGTAGAATTTGTTTATGCAATATCTGCTGACAAGTAACCCCTAGATATGACCATATTGCCATTATGGATTATCTATAGTAAAAATCTCATATCAAACCTTTTCAAATTTATCAGTTTGCTTTCACCCTAATTTAGTCAATTGAATTTTACTCATTATTTAATGTTGCTGCATATAGCGTGAGAACACTGATTCCTAATGAAACAATCAATTCTCCCCACAAGAACAGAAACAACATATGGCAAAACAGAACAATAAAATACAGGTAACCCCCGTATAACACGGTAGTTACGTTCCAAAAAATTGCCGTGTTATGCGAAACAAAGAACTAGTACGAAAAGGAAGGTTAGGTTCCAAAAATTAAAAAACATGCTACTATATTTTCATAATTAAGATAAATATCTTTATTAAAATTTTCTTAAGTGATACATATTAATATAAATTAAACAATGTTTTCTTTGTCATCACTAAAAGCACTATTAACCGAGAGCGTTTTATTTTTGGCAAGTTATCGTTATCCTCTGAGCATTTTTCTGCATTATTTTCAGATTCATGCTTTACCTTTTGCAAAAAGTGTATGTAATTTTAGATTGCTTGCTTCTAGTTAAAAGATCTTTATAATTTTCCTTATATGGTTATAAGCACTTATGGAATAAGGGAAAACATCTGGCAACACAGAAGCAGAAGCGTCGAGATATGGCAAAATTGAAACAATTTTCGCGAAGGACCATGTGTATGAAGATGAGAAAAGAAAATTTACACACTGAAGTACTAATAGTTCACGAAAATAATAATTTTCGTGAACTATTAATACTTAAGTATGTAAAAATTTATTACATTTCATGTCATTTTACCCATTTCTCGAACCATGTCAGAGTGAATCCGTGCTATAAAAGTACCGTGTTATACGGGGGTTACCTGTACATATGTAACATATAAAAAATTAAAAACTGTAAGATAAAGAAAAAATATGTATATATAATAAGTGAATTACATAGGTAAACTATTAAGTATTTTCTAAACTTAGATTTAAAATAAATAAAAACAACAAATAAAAAGAACTCCTTGTTAGAACTTGCTGTAATATCATGATAAGACTGATCTAGAATCTAGTCACCATGATGACTAATCATGCTGATTTCTAGATAAAGAATGGCAAAAATTTAGTAGTGACAAACAAGATAAATTTTGAGTTGGTCTAAGACAGGTGTGGCCAAACTTTTATACCTTAGGGGCTACTTTTTTGGTAAAATGTAGTCTGCTGGCAACTATGAATATGGGCAAACAATTTTAGGATTTTTATATGCATATGCGTTAACATTCATTTGCATTATTCATCGGGATAAATACAAACAGTATGGGTATGTTGCACAGTCAGTCTATTATTGTAAGAATAAATTATCAAATTAAGATTTTTAAACATTAATTTAAGNTGTACTTAATTATATTCAATAATAATTTTGCAATATTAAATTACACATTTTAAAATATATATATTTTTATGGATTGAATATTTTAAATTTAAACGTTAGCATCATAGAATGCATTTAACATTCGTATGTAGAATTTCAGAATGATGCATTTTTCGAAAGCTAATGCTAAGGATGAAGCAGATTTATGAATAAACTGAATACATTTATTTATCTTAAATAAATCAAAGCTGGAAAATTATGAAAGGTATGATTTTGATAAGTTAATGTTATCATTACAATATAACAATTTTACTTTAGATGTTAGTCTTTAAATTAATAAAACAACTTACTTTACGAGCAATGAGAGACTTTGGTTCGGAATCTTGTATTAGCATAAACTGTATGGGAATGAGATCTTTAATTTTTAGTGGCTTTCCACTCATCGGGCAATAGATAGTGGAATCCTAAAATATATAACCAATTTAGTACTTGTGTATATTAGATGTGTTAAATAGAAATTAACTAATAAAATACAAACTGGTTTTTTCAAGTTGCATTTTTTTGCCTCTGGAGTTAGAGATGGAATCCAAAAACTTGGCAGAACTTTCTCATTGCCATTTTTCATGTTACAAATACTTTGTTTACTAGTACTGGCTTCATCTACAAAAAATATAATTTTATACATATTTGTTACTATTAAATATTTAATATATATATAGAAGGTCAAAATCTCATGCCAATTACATACATTACATTTTTAGTAAAAAAATATTAGAAACTAGCAGGTAAGCCCGGCATTGCCTGGGCAAAAAATAAGTACAAACATTCAGATTATTAGATTATGTCATACTTCTAATCCTTCTATTATATTACAGTATATTATAATATTTAATTTATATAACTATAAATGTTATCTTACAAAAGAGCTTATCCCACTGAACAACCAATCTAACACATTTTAAAAATTCTTTAAATTGTGTATAGTAGAGGAAGAAAATTTTTAAATGTATTAGATTGGTCACTCAGTGTGATAAACCCATACATGAGATAAGGTTTGTAGTTATACAAATCAAATACTATGATATAACAAATATTAAAACAAAAACCATATAAAAAGTCTGGTTATTTTAACCTACCATTGTTATGTTTATTGCGATACTTGGATGGTACAAAATGTACAATTTCATTAGCCAAGTAGACACAATTGAAGATATCTTTTCTTATTTTTTAAGATATTATATCATATTTTTTTATAATGTTAGCACTAACAAACTGTTTCATTCACAAAAAATGGACCAATTATTTAATTAAATTTGGTATCCTCGAAGACCACTTAAATCGTATTTTGTAATATTTTTTACTAATACAGTAGAATCCTGATTATCCAAGTAAGATGGACCAACACTACCTCATATAACCAAAAACTTAATTTTTAATCCAAGATGGCCACAGCCATCTTGGATTAAAAATTAAGAACATAAAAGATTTACACAGTAGCATTTTTAAGCTTTTTTCTTATAACTTAGCAAATTTAACTATATATATAAGAATATTTTTTTACATCATTTACTAAACAGCTAATGCATACAATAGTTTTAATTTAAAAAATACTTTTGTAGGTACATTTTAATACAAATGATTTGTTTCGCATTAAAATTAAATAATAAAATTTAACAGAAAATATCATTTTGTAATAGATGTTTATCATTTTTAAACTTTCTTTTATGAATTACAGCATAAGAATAGTAGTGTATTTGCTCATAAGTTACCTTGATAACGTGGAACACCTTTAATTGGGACTTAAATATTTGGGATTCTACTGTATATATCAATCTGAATTTTTTTTAACTTTTATTGTCCTAAATATTTGGTCAATAATTACTTGTTAATTATAATTTTTCTATTCACAAGAAAAATTAAATTACTGTACAATTTTTCAAAAAATTTATCCAAGTTATCAGGAGATTTACTGTATTTATATCTACATGTTACTTTTATGCTGTACTACTTCCTAATAATTATTGAAATTTATGAACAAAATTATTTACCTGATTTACCATTAAAAGCTGTAAAATTTTTCTCATCCTTCAGAAATGTTTCAGCTTTAGAAGCTTGTTCTGCCTTTGCTAATTCCAACAGTTCTTGCTAGAATAAAACAATCAAAATTAATATATATTATTTTTATGGAAAAAATATATAAACATTATAATTTTATGTACAACAAAATAAATTACACTATTTCACATCAATAAATTTTATGTTTTGATCAAATATTTGTTTATTTCATAATAAATTATGAATTGAAAATATGTAAAAGTATAAACGTTTCTATTGTGAATTACATTTACAAGATATTTTCAACCTCTATCACTTCTATATAGCTATTTTCCTACTATTTTATGAACATACAATTTACAATGGTTAATTAATAACACTACCGACCACTCATAGCTCCTCCCATTGAATTTTAATCTGCTGAAGTAAAAATGTTTTTTACATCAAATAAGTTACAAAAAATTTTAAAAACAGAACACTTCATATGTGAGTCACGTAGGTTAAAAGTTATTCGTTATGTGAACAAATGCAGTTTAAAAATTGATACATGTTAACTGACTCAAATACAATTACAGTAGAGCATTGATTATCCAAATGTTGATCAACCGAAATGTCAATTAATCAAAAGCTTTCCAGTCGGCAAATTTAAATTTCCGCTAGTGCTGTGGCGCTGCAATTTTTGGCTATGTCTTGGGCTACTCCAATATTATTTTTGTTGGTGTGCGTATTTTAGCTGGCAACACTGGCATGACCATGAGAGGGTACTTAAGGACGTGCCAGGATTTGAACAAATTTCAACATGGGATAGATTAATATATTTTTTCGTATATAATCGGTTATCTGAAAAATCAATTTTCCGAACAGCCCAGTCCCCAATTGATTCGGATAATCAATGCTCTACTGTAAATTAAATTAATTTACTTATTCCATATAAAAATGGCTATGTTATTTTTATATTCAAGTCCAATTTGCATTCTAATTTCAATTTATAAATCTCTTACCCTAAATTTATGAGAAATGTTTAAAAACACTGCCTACCACTTGTACTGTACATACTCCAGCACATTAAAATTTAATGGAAATGCAAGTTTTCAGTCATTTTTAGGGGTCTTCATCAACCAAGAGAGCCATTTTTATATGGACTAAGTAAATTAATTTAATTTAATTGTATTTGAGTCAGTTAACATGTATCAATTTTTAAACTGCATTCGTTCACATAACAAAAAATTTTTAACGTATGTGATTGCACATATGAAATGTTCCGTTTTTAAAATTTTTTGTAACTTATTTGATGTAAAAAGACATTTTTACTTAAGCAGATTAATATTTAATGGAAGTAGCTATGAGTGGTGGATAGTGTTTTTAATCAACCATTCCAGCTTTTGAGTATGTTTAGAGAAATGTTTAGTTATGCTTTTCAAACAAAAAAAAAACAAACATGATGGAAGATGTGACAAAAGCAGAAAACAAAGCTTATTTAGTCTCTCACAGTCTCACACCACAATAATACATACAACAAAAACCACAATTATTTCAACATACACATAAATCACTGCTATAACTCAACCTTGAACATTTCCACATTCAATCTGAACATTGGGTTTACTAAACCCAATGTTCAGATTGGTGGACTAGACACCAAGGAGGTGTCTAGTCCACCCCATGGAACTTTGGAATGTCTTCAATCAGAATAAAAAATGGTCCTCTTCCATTATTAAAACTAATAATAAAACTCTCTAAAACATTCAATTCAAGCCTATTCAAAAACCTATATGTTCTATTTTTGACACTGCACAACCAAAACATTCATTCCATCAAACATCTGATTTACCATATTTTCACAGATTGTCCGTCATGTTGGTCTATTTTCACAGTTAGTATATATATACAGAAATATCTGATTTCGTGGTCTTCCATAGACCACAAAATCAGATATTTCTGTATGGTAAAAGCCAGCATGCCAGTTTACATGAGGTAGTACTGTACATCTTTCTCCAGAGAGTACACAAAAAATGAACAAGTTTTGTCATGTAAAAACAAACAATTTTTATTCTAAAACTGAAACTATCAGCATTAGATTAAAAAAACTATGATTATATGTTTTATTTCAGCATTCTGTTTTTTCTAATAATGTAAAATATTTGTGGAATGCCAAAAGTGCTCTTTTATGTTTATATTATTGTAATTCAATCCAAAAATGCAAAAATAAACATATAAATTTCAAAAACTCACTGTAAACTATCTCAATTTACATCAATTAACATCCACTTTGTGTGAATTTTGAGAGGAAAGTGTTATTTTTAAAATCAAAGTAGATTGTAAGTGAAGCCCACACTGACTAACTCCTACTACAACTAATGTCAATAAGCTTCTAATTGTATTATTGCACTGTAAACGAAAACTTTCCTTCAAATTTTAAGTTGTTACATTATTACTATTTTATTGTACTCAGAAGAATGTTTCCTTAACATTTATTTAACAACTAGTTTTTTCTTATGTATGATTAATTTTATTTCTAAGTCACAATTTAACCAGCATGCTGGTCTCCCCTAGTTATATGCGACATGCCAATCAATCTGTGAAAATACAGTAATAGCGTCTTGCACACACAACTTTACTGTTCTGCAAATGAAACTTCGAACCCTTTTAAATTTAAATCTTCACTCAACAAAAATTCCATAAAATTGTTACTCCATTTGAACATGTTTAATGAGCAATAATTTGAAAATTGATTTCCATTCATTCTTTTGTATCATCATATACTATCCATCTCCAGATATAATTAATCAATTGAAAATACAGTAAAATCTTCTTTTTGTGGTACTGTTATATGAGGATTCCTATTTTCATGCATGGTACAGTACCATAAAATGATTATGCTAACCCACTCCTCCTACTGCTACTGAATCAAATTATTAAGTCAGTAAATCATGCTTCTTCAGCTTCTGACATTCTAAACACTCCTACTATTATGAGTACTCTGGTTTGTTTTATGTATTTTTTTCTAGTAGTATACTCAATATAGCATAAAATTTTGCTTTGTATATCCAGAAATGTTGAACTAAAGTATTTTAAACACATTTTAACATTTTCGGTTAATTGTAAATGGTTGCAACTGCTTTTTCAGAAAATGTCATCAAAATTAAAGATAAATTTTGTGGAATCTAATATTAAAATCTCCGTACATATTTATTGGACATTGATGTTTGATATAGTGATCTTACGTATTTCATTTTCAAAAAAGGTTTGTTCACAAAAGCACATAGAAACAAAAATAGAAAATATCCCAAGCAAACTAGGGGCTTAAAATTCTCTTCTGTCAGAGATTTAAAAATTTAACAAACTTTCTTCTTTAAACAGATTTTTATACAAATCATTTGCAGCAAGATCTATTAATTCTAATTGACTTTCCAAGTTGTAAATGTATAGTAAATGGCAGTATTCCTGAAAAGTGTTCAACTTGTTGCATAGTTTTAAGTTTATATGCTTTGAACCACTTCAAATGTTTTCACTGACATGTTTTATCATCAGCAAGCTATGTGAGTTAGATAAATATGCTTTGAAAGGAATAGGTTGAAGATATCTGGTCTAGGCATGTTTACTTGGGATTATGTTGGAGATAAGCACAAATTTATGTAGAATTTGTTTATGCAATATCTGCTGACAAGTAACCCCTAGATATGACCATATTGCCATTATGGATTATCTATAGTAAAAATCTCATATCAAACCTTTTCAAATTTATCAGTTTGCTTTCACCCTAATTTAGTCAATTGAATTTTACTCATTATTTAATGTTGCTGCATATAGCGTGAGAACACTGATTCCTAATGAAACAATCAATTCTCCCCACAAGAACAGAAACAACATATGGCAAAACAGAACAATAAAATACAGGTAACCCCCGTATAACACGGTAGTTACGTTCCAAAAAATTGCCGTGTTATGCGAAACAAAGAACTAGTACGAAAAGGAAGGTTAGGTTCCAAAAATTAAAAAACATGCTACTATATTTTCATAATTAAGATAAATATCTTTATTAAAATTTTCTTAAGTGATACATATTAATATAAATTAAACAATGTTTTCTTTGTCATCACTAAAAGCACTATTAACCGAGAGCGTTTTATTTTTGGCAAGTTATCGTTATCCTCTGAGCATTTTTCTGCATTATTTTCAGATTCATGCTTTACCTTTTGCAAAAAGTGTATGTAATTTTAGATTGCTTGCTTCTAGTTAAAAGATCTTTATAAATTTCCTTATATGGTGCTAAGCACTTATGGAATAAGGGAAAAACATCTGGCAACACCAGAAGCAGAAGCGTCGAGATATGGCAAAATTGAAACAATTTTCGCGAAGGACCATGTGTATGAAGATGAGAAAAGAAAATTTACACACTGAAGTACTAATAGTTCACGAAAATAATAATTTTCGTGAACTATTAATACTTAAGTATGTAAAAATTTATTACATTTCATGTCATTTTACCCATTTCTCGAACCATGTCAGAGTGAATCCGTGCTATAAAAGTACCGTGTTATACGGGGGTTACCTGTACATATGTAACATATAAAAAATTAAAAACTGTAAGATAAAGAAAAAATATGTATATATAATAAGTGAATTACATAGGTAAACTATTAAGTATTTTCTAAACTTAGATTTAAAATAAATAAAAACAACAAATAAAAAGAACTCCTTGTTAGAACTTGCTGTAATATCATGATAAGACTGATCTAGAATCTAGTCACCATGATGACTAATCATGCTGATTTCTAGATAAAGAATGGCAAAAATTTAGTAGTGACAAACAAGATAAATTTTGAGTTGGTCTAAGACAGGTGTGGCCAAACTTTTATACCTTAGGGGCTACTTTTTTGGTAAAATGTAGTCTGCTGGCAACTATGAATATGGGCAAACAATTTTAGGATTTTTATATGCATATGCGTTAACATTCATTTGCATTATTCATCGGGATAAATACAAACAGTATGGGTATGTTGCACAGACAGTCTATTATTGTAAGAATAAATTATCAAATTAAGATTTTTAAACATTAATTTAAGTGAAAGCAAATTGTTCAACTTTAGCTTTGCGGGCTACTTTCAAAACCTTTGCGGTCAACCGCGGTCTACGTGTTGGCCATCCCTGGTCTAGGAGAAACACATAAAAATATTATGTGGAGAATGTAACACATTGAAGCAGGGTTTCCACTACACAGTACAAATTTTGCCATATGGCAATATTTTTATCACTGGCAAAATATTAGGTTGTTGCAAATGAAATGGCTAACTTTCACTTCTGACTTTTAACATTTATTACTTTAATTTAAAACTTCATATTCATTTTTTTGCTTTTATTTGAATTTTTGTCATTTAATAACTTCTTTATTTTATGTGTGATAAAATTTGTAATAGAATATATTATTACAGTGAGTGATCGGTTGACAAACAGTTCAGACAGTGACAAATCGGATAACGAACACTTTCACAAAAGATTTTTATGTTCAGATAACGAACACTTCACAGAACATAAAAAAAGTGACATAAAATAACAAATACCAATTGGTTTTCCCTTGTCTCCAGGTAACAATTCAAAACCTTTCGGAGCATGGGAGATGATGCTCAACTCAATACTAATCAGATATTATTCATCTGAACTTGGAAACTCTACATTGTAATTCCAGCTTTTTGTTTACCTTTCTGACAAATTTTTTATGACTGTTGGGCACTCATAAGTTTGGCGTCAGTTTTTTTATTTTCTGAAGGTGAAAGTTTATTGTCCTATCAGATATTCGTTAATGGTTAACAACAAAATTTTGAATTTCATTTGGGCCTCACATTTACATAATTCTTTCGTGCGCTAGTCTCGAATTTGAAGAATTCATTAAAACAGAAGGATATTGTCCACAACAAATTTTCAATCATGATGAAACTGTTTTATTTTAAAGCAAATGTCAAACCGTACCTACATTACAAAAGATGAAAAATTTTCCTGTGCATAAATCCATGAAAAACTGATTGACATTACTTTTGGAAGCTAATGCTAGTGGTAATATGAAGTTTTTTTCTGCTTCTTGTCTATGCATAAACACATGGAAGTGTGGATAGAAGGGCTAACTGGGACTGGTGCATCTCAAGACAGCGTTATTTACTCTCTAAGAACCGTAGAGCATAAAAAAATTTCCATAATTAAACAAAGACTGTCAGGGATGTAGAGATTGAATAAAAGGGCATGAGTCATGCAGGCTCTTTTCAAAGAACGGCTGTTTGAAGTTTGTACTCCAAGCATCAAGGATTACCTTCAGATTAATGACTTGCCATTGAAAGCACTATTGGTATTGGACAATGCACCAGGATACCCAAAAGACCTTGAAGATAATTTGTTGGCAGGCTTTTCCTGGCTGACATCAGTTTCTGCCCCCACATACCACTTCATTGATTCAACCAATGGATCAAGAGGTTATTGCAGGTTTTCAATAAATTGTTAATTCAAGCACTGTTTTGTCAGTGTTTTGAGACATGCCAGTTCTCCTCAATGATAACATTAAAAACATTTTGGAAAAAAAAAAATTGATATTCTTGAAGCTATACAGCTCATTCAAAAGGCCTAGTCAGAAGCCACTCAACAATTGAATTCTGCTTGGCAAAAGCTCTATCCCTCCTGCATTCAGGAGAACAGAGGTGATGTCACTGAAATTATGGATGAAATTGTGACAACTGCTAGAGATCTGGAATTGGAGGTGAATGAAGATGACATTAAAGAGCTCATAATGGAACCTGAAACTGATCTAATGACTGAAGAACTCCAAGAACTTTTAAATGAAGAACACAAAGAAACTCAGCAAGATGTGTTTTCTTCTAAAAAAGAGGAAGATGAAAGAGAATAAATGACAACACCTGCTATTAAAGATCTTTTGAAGAAGTGGGAGGATGTCAGAACAATGGTCTTAGAATGGCATCCAAACCAAGTTGAGGTTAATAGGCTTGGGGATCACTACAACAACAATGCTATTAATTACTTCCGAAAAATCTTAAAAGGAGAGAGAGAAAAGCAATCGACATTGAACAGATTCTTTATCATCTCACAAATGGAAAAACAACATGACTAATAAAAATGCAAGACTGTATATAAGTATTTTTATTATTACGTATAAACAAACATAGTAAGAAAGTATATAATTTATTACTTATTTTTTGGGTCTCCAGAACGAATTAATCAAATTCCCATAAAAATCTATGGTAAATTGATAATCAGTTAACAAACAATTCGGATAGCAAAGTCTTGGAATTATGTTTGTTAAGTGATCACCCACTGTATTACCTTTTGCTGATATTTACAATGAATTAATAATTTTATTATAGCATTCTCCTATGAAATGACTGACATGTTACCAACAAAGAGTATTATTAAAAATAGTATTATTATGAGCCTATATTAAAAATTTTCATGTTTATATTATTTTATGGTATCTTGCTTTAATAAATATAGAAATAGGTGCAATGTTAGTATGTTTGAATGTTAAATAAATGAACAAAAATTACTGCGACGACATCACAATGCTGGGCTGCAATTTTTAATCATATTTTAAATTTATTTCATTTAAAATACATGCTCTCCACCTCAAATTAGTACTGTAGTGTATTGCCACTGTATATCATACTTTTTATAACAACAACAAAGTCATGCCAGTCAACTATGTAATTCCACTCTGGAAAAAATTTTTAAATTGAAATCACATGACTTCTGGTAATTTGTATAGAGTTAATTGGGACCTCCTTTCCTAAGCTTTCTATATCTCATCTCAACTTTCATCTATTTAACACCATTGCAAGATTAAAGAAGGACAGACAGACAAACAACAGTAAGAATTTATAGGTCTACAATTTTTTCAAATTATAGCCTAATAAATAATATATTGGACTCAAAAATGCACTAGAATATTTTCCATTTAAATTAATGATAANAAAATCCTTGAGGTCTAAAACAAAAAAAATACAATTTATATAAAAAATAATAAAATAGAGCAAACAAATTTATGTTACTGCATTTTGTGATTGTTATTCTTTGTATTTATTATCCGTTCTAAATTAAATACAAAACTGATAATAAATATGACATTGTATGGTTCTTAACAAAGGCATTCTTTAGTATTAAAGATATACAATATGATCAAAAAGTATTAGAATGAAATTCTGAAGCTGAAATGTCAGGACAAAGAATTAATCTCCATTGAAGTAAGTTTCCATTTATTTGGAAGATTCTGCCATTATTAGAAGCACCTCTAACATTTTTGGAAATCAAGAAAAAAGCTCTTCACATTAATTTTATGGTTTATACAACACCAAACCCTTTTGAACAGCAAACTATACATCATTTCTTATCCAGCATACTTTAGATATATTTACTTAATCAATGAAAATGACAGACATCATTGTCATTTTGCTGTAAACTTTCAGTTTTTTGCTTATTGTAACGAGAAAAATTTTCATTAAGATGTTTTTTAGGATCATTTGCATTTCATTGGCAGTTACAGTAACTTTGCCAAGATAACGTCCAAATCACTTGTCGAGAATGCTGGACACAAACTAAAAGACATTTCTATGTCATAGACAATTTCTCTAATTGTTCCGTCTTTGACCAACACTCACCATCATAAACCTTTGACCCAGGCACAAATTGGGCAGTTTTAGAAGTATTTTGGATAGCCGGGGACACTTTGGGACGTTGCAAGGGAGTTTGTCCCCAGCAAGATTATGCAAATTAGGTGTTTGGGACACACTTTTTCCCTGGTATTCCAAGCTTTGACCTTTGAGTCGATTTAGGCAGTATTTATACAGGGTTTGGGCACCTGCATACACAGTAGATCATAGGAAAACTTGTCCCCCATGAGATTATGCAAATTAGGTGCCACATATACATGGCTTGTTTCTACTAGATTTTCAGAATCGTGCCCTTCAGACTACAGTTGTCAGTGTTAGGGTTTGGTCGTTAACCTGAAGAATACTTATCAAGAGAGCCAAAAATGTTTGTTTAATTAAAAAATATTTCTGGGAAATAAAGGGGTTGAAGCGTGAGTTGTCAATGTTTCTTCAAGTTTTGGTTTTTATGCTTTACATGATACTGTCCACTTTCCAAAGAAGTTTGTCCTTTTTATGGTTGCAAAATCACCTAAAATCTTACGTACAGCTTTTCAAATTTTCTCCATAGATGAATTTTATCATTTAATACAGTCGACCCCCCCTACAACACGGGTTCCTATAGTTCAGATTTCTATATGACGGCGAAAAAATTGCGACAGTATCCATACAAACATGGTAAAAAAACTCCTATAATTCGGTAAAATGTCATCAGGCAGCCGAACTACTTTCCGTCGTCCAGCGCCATGCTACGGAGAGTTTAGGCGGGTAAATTGAGTTTACTATCGTCTGTACAGTATTATATATAAATTAGGTACTGTATATATAATTATATATTAACTTAATTTATTGTAACTTTATTATAATTATATATATGCTTTCTGCCGCCTGGCAACACGCTACGGAGATTTTAGGCTAGTAAGTTGAGTTTATTATCGTCTGTACAGTATGTAAATTAGGTACCGTAAGTCTAATACAGCACTAATTTTATACATTTCTTGTGAAAGAAACATTTCTTATTCAACGGCCATAAAAATTATTTATATTAATGATGTCTCCAAAGTTCAACGAAGTTTTCGCAGAAAAATAACTTATCAGAAATCGCACCCGCCGTTTGATGCGCTGCTCTGTGACGAAAACAAGCTTAAGCAATGGCAACGTCGAATGGTGCACACTCGGTAAGCAATCCTCCAATTTTTTGTTTATAGCATAGTTTATACAGATTATTCCCAAAAAAATATACTTATTTTGGAAATGTTGAGTCGAATTAGTCTAGGAATTGATTAATTTTATGGAAGAAAACCTTTCAAACAGCCGTAGTCCATAAACTTCACACGTGTCGGGCTGTGATTGGCAAGGTCTCCTAAAACATCAATTTCATAAAAAATGGAACGTATCTACCATGTTATAGGGGGGGTCAACTGTATTTTACTTCCATAAGTTTCTAACATAATTTAATGTGCACATATTACTCAGTGGTTTTAAACATAATAAACTAAATAGACAACACACCAACTGATGTTCATAAATAATACTTAAGCAAGAAAGAACAATACAGAATAATCATATTTTGCACAGACACATGACATGTCTATAGCATTTACGAAAAATGCATTATTTTACATCTAGGCAATAAAAATAAATCAACTCAGCTTTATTCAATCAGATTTCACATATTATTATTAACTTTTCTTGATTAAATACAAGAATTGTCCAGCTAAAATTTATTTTAATGCATTCAAATATAGATTCAGTTATTTTGAAATATATTCTAATTATAGATAATACAGGCAACAAATAATAATGATTAAACATACAAAACACAAATTATATAAATAAACATAAAAGTCTATAACTCTAACATAATAATGAATGTCAATAAGCATATATCCAATAAACTATTTCATAAGTGATACTCTAATCAATTAAATAATTAAACGACACTTAATTCATGAAGTGTCGTTTTATCTCCAATACTGTTGCTTTCAACACAGCAGCTGCTCTCTACAGTTGTCCGCATAAGTACAGTACATTATGGGGCCAACCCTGTCACATACACCTGTATTTGTACGGGGTGTATGTGACAGGGTTGGCACGACATGTCATTGTGCCAGGTACTCTTATGTAGACGTATCTGCACGTGGACGAATCTGCCTGGAGACAGATAGAGGAGCGGTGTCTCAGTGCTTAAGACCATCAGAAATAAGTGTTTTCCGACACACTTAGATGACCCCCGTGAAAGGGTCATTTGACCCCCAAAGGGGTGGCAACCCAGAGGTTGGGAACTGCTGGATTAGAGTATCCGTTATGAAACATTTTAGTTTGTTGGATATGTGTTTATTAACATCCATTATTATATTAGTGTTATAGACTTTTATGTTTATTTATATAATTTGTGTTTTGTGCGCTTAATCATTATTATAACGTAGTCCCCAAGGCGCAAAGGTCAGTTTTTTACACGTATCAGTTTACTGCCCATTCTACATTCTTCGAACGAAGACGTGCACCTCAGTGCCGACTTTCACTCGCACCTCAGCATCCGGGCGAGAGCAAGTCCCACCCCTAAAACTATAACATCAAGTACTCCACAAACAGTCAAGCGGGCCACTCGAAGCCGGCATTAGTCACGTAAGCTAAATAATTAAATGCCACAGCCTCGGAAGTACTGCCATTGGGGCTACCTAGATGCACTTATACGAAATCATTATACTTTTCCTTTAACAATAGAGCCGTGCCAGTCATCTATCTAACACATTTCGAAGGAAAATTTTTGAATTGAAATAACACGACTTCCAGTTTGCATAGGAAGTTCTTATATTGTTAATCGGCCCTCCTGATCTCGCCTTTCATCTATCTAACTCCATTGTCGAGATTCAGGAAAGACAGACATATAGACGGACGACAGTGACAATTTATAGGTCTACATTTTTTTCAAATTGTAACCCAATTACATATAAAAACGAAAATACAGGTAAGATGGTAGCTCCGACGGAAGAAAGTCGGTCTCCTGATCGGGAGCCAGAACCTTACGGTGAGGACGGAGATGGAAAGAAAATACTCACGTCACCACGGGGTTGTGACAGGGCTGCAGGGTCAAACAACAGCAATCGAAATCCTTGACGGAATCCTTCCCGATTCGATCCTTTTGAGTACCGTATCCGCAAGTCTTCGTATCTTTCTGTTTTTCGTGGTAAGTGTACACGGCACCCGCCGTACAGTTCTTGGCGTGTCGAGTCATTTTTCGGTCGGCCTCCTTTTCTTCCTAATTCTCTCCGACGACGACCATTAAGCGACGTCGACGCCACCTAGAAATAAAAATGGTTAATTCGGCAGAAATTAACTTACATTGAAAAATTCGACGTAATTATTACTGTATTAAATTATAATATAATTTTTAAATAATTATTTAATTTTTTCGACTGTTAAAATTAAAATATTTTATCGTTCGAGAAAAATTAAGTTTTTAAAACTCTTTCCGCCCTTTTGGCACTAGAGAGGCCTTCCTCCAGCCATTACTCCGATCGCATTGTAAATTACAGCGCAAAGACGAATGGCCGAGCGGTCAAGCTTTGGGGACCTGGGTTCGAATCCGAATAAGTCAAAATAGCCTCTGGAAATTTTCGGGGTGGTTCGTTCGGATATGTCGGGCCCATCCCTCGCCACCCGGCCGTCTCATTGCGGGCCTGGCCGAATCCATAATGGGCTGGCTAAAAGGGGTCCTCTTAGTGACCACAGGACGGAGTTTAAACAGAAAAAAAACGCAAAGACGACGCGACTCTTCGTCCCTTTTGACTAAGTAAAAAAATTATTTTAACGATGCAATTAAATGATGATGACGAAGCAATTAAAAACCTTTTGAGAAAGGGTTTTAATTGCATCGATTAAATGAGTAGTCGTACCATGTAATTATTTATAATGGGAGTTCCTATTGGTACATTCGCTATCGTAATACGAAGAGAAACACACTCCGATTTACTTTCTAATTGCATCTCGTTTTCGCCGTAATTACGCCAACGGCAGCTGGAAATATATTTTCTGCCTTTTCATTCTACTAATTTACTAAAGTTATAAAGCGTTAACTTTTAATGCGGAATAATAAACATTTTATACAACGATAGTCACCGACGCCATTTTGCGCCTTTGTCCGACACATTTCTCCAATCTCAAAACAACCAAACGAGATATTAATGACGTTGGCCCATCGCCGAAATCTATCGTTTATTCGGACGAAAGCGCCGCCTTGCGTTTTGTTCGGTTCCGTTATTTGCATTACCCGAAACCAGCAAATAATAGGATAATACATTCGTGGGGAGAGACTTGTCAGATTAACGGCGAACGAAATTAGATAGATGGAGATTGCCGATAGTTTTCGTAGACGCGTTCCGTCGTTAACCGAATTTCGCGGAACTGCCGAAGATTCCGAGATTTACGCCCGCTCCCAGGGGTGACGAAGCAGTTGTTTCCCTGTCGTCAACCGCCGACACTCGAGGCGGGTTGACGCTCGTTGCGGATGAATTCGGCAGACACCCGTTGCGCGGTTCCGTATAACAACCGGGACATTTCTCGTTTCTAGCACTGTTTTACACGACGGATCGACGACGAATATTCCGGGCGGCCGCCTTCTCGTCCACACTTTTCGCCATAGTCGAGTGTCTTACTGTAGATTATCCACACCGGAGTGGATATTCTACGTAGAAGGTATACGTATTTACATTCGGAATGGAGTAGAGTATATACGAGAGACTTTAGAAATGAAATGGACGAAAGCGATTCGGTTCAAAACCCGAATTCGTATCGGTGAATCGAAAAACACGTCGGAAGGAAAACGGGCGGGTGCGTCCGAGACGGGAAATTGTCGTCGACAGATTCCACCTGCAGAGATTTGCGACATCACACGTGCCGTGATTTTTATTTTTACCGGCGAGACGGCGAAAAGTCTGGGTCGAAACTAAATTTTCGTCCCGTTGCCCTTTAATACTCGGAAACGGGATGCGGGAAGAAAACGTCCGTATTATTACGTCGACGAGCCGCCAGCGTACGTAACCATTTTGGAGCCGCCTTTAGACGGTAATTAACGTATTTCAAACGCCAAGTATGAAATTTGGAAGCGTGCCAAGGGAAACGCGTAAGAGCCGGTCGAACCTTTCGAGTATATAAAAATACGTCACCGTCGACAACGACAGACCGCGCCGACCGCTCGGCTTTTTCGAAGATGAGAAATCTAATTTTAATGGTTTTCTCGGTAGCCGTGGCAATACGCGGTAAGTTGCTCACTCCTTCTGTTTTACACATACACAATTAATCTTTAGTGTGATACGCGGAAATACTTCCACGTCCGTTATTCGTAAATATGAAGGGCAATGCAATTCTAGATGTATTTTAGATTTAATTTCCGATAAAAAAAAATATCCTCGTTTGACCTTTGCAACATTTAACAAAACTTTTCTGGGACGTTTACGGAAGAATGGTCGGCATTTATCCGAGTTATTCAGTCCCGATGGATTCGTTTCGGTTTTCTTCGAATGAATAATCGAAAATTGTGGAATGAATTTTTAATTGATAAACGCCTTCTCTATTCCGGCGAATATAATTTATTGTTGAAAAGTCTGTAATTCGCAACGTCTGCAAACCAGGACGAAACTCGAGAATGGTCGTTTCGATTTTGTAATTTTCGAGCATTGACGGGAAATATACATTTAAAGATGGGGGAATGATATAATATTATGTTTGTTTGTTTAGTAATGGCAGCAGTTGGGCGATCTGTCTAGTGGAATGCCTTCTTGGAGGATTTTTTAAGGAAAACTGGCCCCTATTTAAGCATTAAAGACGTGGAGAAAACCCGGAAAACTCCACGTGGCTAGTGTTCGGGAAATGAAGACCGCTCGGCCGGTGGTGGGCCTTTCGGAACAATATAACTGTCGACAAATTTATATTTAAGTTTTAATATTATTTATTATATATAGACTATTATAGGCGTTATTGTAGTTTTTATATAACTATTGTATACAAATAATAATTGTAAATTGCGTTTTCGAGTTTAGAAATGAAATGCTCGAGGACGGGATATCCGATTAGAGAAAACGGTTGCAGAATTAGTTGCGTAGCCGGCATAGAGGACGACTTATGCGATACTTATTGCAAGAATAATGGAGCGGAAATCGCGTAAGTTCGGGGTATGATTGTATGGTGAAGCATCAAAAATAAGATTCAACTGTTGAAAATTGGATAGTAACTCTTCAAACAGTAAGTTACTAGTTGATATTCAAAATTCATAATTTTTTTTATTTTGAAATTATGATTAATGATATTTTGTTTAAGCATAGTGATTCTGCATGTTGTATTTTGAATCTTTCTAGCATTCTTATGTTCTTTGTTAAGTAATTGTGAACTAAGAACCCCAAAATTGAATTACAATGTATTTGAATTTGACAGTACTTAAAATGCTAATTTATACATATATTTGAAAATCTGGACCAGTCCAAATATTTCATGCTTCACTGTAATAATTATTACTAATGTTGTTACAGTTTATAAACTAAATAATTAAAAAACTTTTAAACAAAATTCATTAATTGTTTAGTTTTAAAATTCAAAATTTATCAAAAATTTTACTAATTCTCTAGAGAATTTAGTAAGTCATAATTTATTATACAGAAGTATCATAAAAGGCTATAAAACTTAATATCATCCTCATAAAATAAAAAACTTTTAAGTTCAAGTTACAAGTAAGTTTTTTAAGAAACATTTTCACTCAATATAAACTGAAGATTGAAAACATTCTTCAAATAAATGTTATTTGGTAATATAAATTTAGCAAATTATCACACACTACACATATAGGATAATGCAGAGAACTAATTACCTCTTCTTTCTTTTTTTGTCTTTCATATTCTTTCAGCTGTTTTGCTATTTCTTTCTTTTTATGAATTACATATTCCAAAATAGCTTCTTTGTCATACAAAAATCCTTGAGGTCTAAAACAAAAAAAATACAATTTATATAAAAAATAATAAAATAGAGCAAACAAATTTATGTTACTGCATTTTGTGATTGTTATTCTTTGTATTTATTATCCGTTCTAAATTAAATACAAAACTGATAATAAATATGACATTGTATGGTTCTTAACAAAGGCATTCTTTAGTATTAAAGATATACAATATGATCAAAAAGTATTAGAATGAAATTCTGAAGCTGAAATGTCAGGACAAAGAATTAATCTCCATTGAAGTAAGTTTCCATTTATTTGGAAGATTCTGCCATTATTAGAAGCACCTCTAACATTTTTGGAAATCAAGAAAAAAGCTCTTCACATTAATTTTATGGTTTATACAACACCAAATCCTTTTGAACAGCAAACTATACATCATTTCTTATCCAGCATACTTTAGATATATTTACTTAATCAATGAAAATGACAGACATCATTGTCATTTTGCTGTAAACTTTCAGTTTTTTGCTTATTGTAACGAGAAAAATTTTCATTAAGATGTTTTTTAGGATCATTTGCATTTCATTGGCAGTTACAGTAACTTTGCCAACATAACGTCCAAATCACTTGTCGAGAATGCTGGACACAAACTAAAAGACATTTCTATGTCATAGACAATTTCTCTAATTGTTCCGTCTTTGACCAACACTCACCATCATAAACCTTTGACCCAGGCACAAATTGGGCAGTTTTAGAAGTATTTTGGATAGCCGGGGACACTTTGGGACGTTGCAAGGGAGTTTGTCCCCAGCAAGATTATGCAAATTAGGTGTTTGGGACACACTTTTTCCCTGGTATTCCAAGCTTTGACCTTTGAGTCGATTTAGGCAGTATTTATACAGGGTTTGGGCACCTGCATACACAGTAGATCATAGGAAAACTTGTCCCCCATGAGATTATGCAAATTAGGTGCCACATATACATGGCTTGTTTCTACTAGATTTTCAGAATCGTGCCCTTCAGACTACAGTTGTCAGTGTTAGGGTTTGGTCGTTAACCTGAAGAATACTTATCAAGAGAGCCAAAAATGTTTGTTTAATTAAAAAATATTTCTGGGAAATAAAGGGGTTGAAGCGTGAGTTGTCAATGTTTCTTCAAGTTTTGGTTTTTATGCTTTACATGATACTGTCCACTTTCCAAAGAAGTTTGTCCTTTTTATGGTTGCAAAATCACCTAAAATCTTACGTACAGCTTTTCAAATTTTCTCCATAGATGAATTTTATCATTTAATACAGTCGACCCCCCTACAACACGGGTTCCTATAGTTCAGATTTCTATATGACGGCGAAAAAATTGCGACAGTATCCATACAAA